TGGACGGGCGGGGGCTGCGGGTGCTGGCGGCGTGTCTGACGGAGCAGGGGGCCGAGCGGCTGTGGCAGGTGACGTTGGGGAGGCTGAAGACGGTGATCTTGGATGTGACCAAATCTGACAGCATCCATGCCTCCACTGCCTGGGTGATGGGACAGGTGAGGGACAAAGGTGAGGGCTGGCTCTGCCCGTTGTCAGCTCCAGCAGAGGCTTGGGCACTGGAATAGGTGAGGCTGGAACCAATCTCCCCTTGCCCAGGACAGTTCCGCCCGGGAAGGGGGTTGGCTTGAGGAAAACTTTTGTTGAGTGAAAACCAGACCCTCATCATAACGCAGTCAGGGCAGGAGGGGTCGGCTGCCCCATCAGAGACTGCAAGGGAGGTACAGGGCAAGGGCCGAGCCACGGATCCCCTGCTCTGGGACCTGGCCTGGGCCAGGTAAGGAGCCAGCCCAGCGCTCTCACACTCTCCTCTCTGTAGGGCTCCGGGGCCCGGTGGACAACGCAGGGATCTCTGGATGCGTTTGCCACAACGAGCAGCAGCAGCCCACACCTCTGAGCACCCTCCACTCTGACGTGGGAGCTTCACAAGGTGGGGCAGTGGGGAGGGAGTCGCGCAGGTCCTTGTCTTTTGTTGTTACACACCTTTCACAGTAGAAGCGGGTGTTGGAAGTCAGGCGTGCTGGACACTCACCCCCGGACTTGGCTCCACGGAGCAGCCTTGCTCAGTGACTGGCGTTCCCACGAAGCGCAAGAGAAGCTGGGGCGATGCGTCCACCACGGGGGACGGGGCAGACACTGTTCTTGGTGTAACAAAGAAATAAAGGTGACGGGTGAAAGACCGAACCCTGTGGACTCTAAGGTGGTGGTGGGAGGGGGCTTGCATGTTCTCTGGGCTACACCATGCACAGACTTGTTAGGCCAGGCTGCTCTTCCCGCCAGTGCAGGTAGTGCCTGAGTTGTAGGGACACCCTGATCCATGGGCAATAAAACCCCCTTTCTCAGCTTCACATTAGGCATTTTCCCAGGATGAGAGCTCTCCTCCCTCCCCAGTCTGGGCTTGCCCAAGACACCCACAGAGGGGCTGCTCCCTGGAGCTGGCAGCCGCAGACACATTGGGAGATGGGGTTCAATGAAGTTTGTCCTCCAGGGGCAGGTGCACATCAGGCCTCCCCGCCAGGCACGGCCCATCCAGGCCATGCTCTCAGGTGGCAGCTCTCACCTGCCCTGCAAGCAGCATCACCATTTCCAAGGCCAGGCTTAGAGCTTCTCTGAAGGACGAAGCCTTGGTTTCAAGCCTCCAGCGCTCACAATGTGGCAAGGGTCTGGTAACCAGTGACAGCAGTCCCCTCTGCCCGGCGTTCCCCAGGATTTCCCCACAGCTCTATGCCCAATCCACCAGCTGGCCGCTGGGACCTGCCCATGCTGGGTCCATCCTGGTCCACATCTTTCCCACCACGCAACACCTTTGGCTTTGAAGCCCGTAACAAGCACAAGTGGGGCTTGGGTCATAGCAGCCATCAGCAGCCAGCGCCTTCTCTGCCCTGCGCTTCCCTCTCGGTACGAGACAGGAAAGAGGGGTTGCTTCCCCCAGGATTATATCTTTACTTACTCCTGCTCCCATCAGGTAGGAATGAGCCGGGTCTCCCTGGTTCTGGCACCTCCGCCCCTCTCTGCTCTTTGGCTCAGCAAAGGCCCCACAAAGCAAATCCCTCCCATCCCCTGGAGCCAGCAGGACAAGCGAGAGGACCAGACATCTCCTGGCTTTTCCTCCTTGCTGCAGAGATAAACAACCAGAGCAAAGAGGACAGGAATGGAGAACGTGGGAGAGGAGACCTGTGATCTACCTCCCTCCTCAGGCACAAATATCGACACCAAGACACACATTTACATCGGTTCCTGGCAGTTGTCTCTGCTCCTCCCTCCACCATCTCCATTCCCTCCTGACCTTGGGCACTGTTCATCGCAGCCCTGATCAGGATGATCCAAGGACAGGACCTGAGTAGAAGGGTGCAGAGACCCGTGTGCAGGTAGGATTTCCCCTTCCAGTTAGTCGGCCGAGTGCCTGGGAATGGGAGCCCTGTCGAGGGTCTCCAGGGCTGGGACACAGACTGCCAAGGTAAGGAACCGCCTGAGCCGGGCTGCTCAGGGGCATCATATTCACCAGCCTCTCCTGCTACCTCATCCTGCCATGTAAACTGATGTAAAGAGGCTGTTGGTCAGTCCCAAGGTGATCTGTGAATGCGAGCATGTGTGTGCATGTGTGTGTGCACGTGGGTGTGTACGCACTAGGTCTTCATAACGCAGAGATAAAGGAAGCTCCACATCTCTAAGCAAACACAACTTCAGCTCAGGCGTCTGTTGTACCTTGGTGGGGGCAGGTGGGAAGCTTTGGTCTGCTCGCGAGCACGGGGTCCCTTCAGGTCCTCCCAGGAACCTGGACTCGGTCTTGTCCCTCGGCTTCACTCAGCCAAAGCCCTGAGGAGCCCACGGGCGCATGCGGGTGCCCATCTCCATGCTGGGAGGGTGCTAGCAGGGTTTGCCTCGACACAGAGTCGCAGCCGGGAGAAGGCGGTAAGTGGCAGTAGACGCCTTGCGACCTGCCCCCAGTCCTTGCAGTGGGACGGAGATGGGCATTTCAGAGCCATACCAGAAATGTTCACACTGAAACCGATGGAATTAAATCACAGATGATACACACAGCAGGGATCCTGAATTTCATCCTCAAAAACAGCAGTCAACTTTCCTCAGGGTCTGCCCAAACAGCCCCGCTGCCCCCACAACTTCTTGGAGAAGGAGAGGCCTCTTGTTCAAGTAACAACATCTGGCAAGGCGGCAACTCTGGGCAGAACCAGCTGTTCTTCTGAGCAGTTCTTCTCCTCCGGCGTCTGTGACTCACCCCAGAGCGGGGGTCATTGCTTTCCAGGGGCTGCATGACCCAGAAGCCTGGAATGGGGGAGATCAGATGAAGGGCGATAAGACTGGGACTGTCAGTCAAAAGAACCTGGATGATGTTTGCAGGCAAAAGGCAGCAGTACGTGGTGGCCCTGCTGGTGCTGTACTTCCTGCGCCGATGGTACCGGGAGCAGCAGACAGTCGGGAACCTCCGGGACAAACACATCACGGGCTGCGACTATGGCTTCAGGCACCTGCTGGCTGGGCTCTCAGGAGGCAGCTCTCACTAGCCCTGCAAGCAGCATCCCGGGCTCCGGCAGGCAGGGCTCAGAGCTTCCCCAAAGCAGGGGCCTTGGTTTCAGGCCTTCAACACTGAGAAGAGAGCTGCAGTTTCCCACTGCGAAGCTCAGGGCCACACACCCGGGACTGAACTCACAACTCTCTCCCCTCCCTCGGGGGTCTTTAAGAGAAGGCTGGATAGGCATCTGGCTGGGGTCATCTGACCCCAGCGCTCTTTCCTGCCCAGGGCAGGGGGTCGCACTCGATGATCTGTTGAGGCCCCTCCCGACCCTGGCATCTAGGAATCTATGAAACTTTCTGGTCCCTAGCTGGCCACACAAGCCCCTTGGCCACAGAGCCTGACAACAGAGTAACGCTCCAGTAACCAGTGGCGGCAGACCCCTTTACCTGCACTCTTCAGGTTATCCCCGCAGCTCTGTGCCCAATCCACCACCCCGGCACCG